TTATGAAGTGAGCGGAGTCCCCAGACAGCAGTACATAGAAGTGTTCAGGTGCTGCCTTCTCCCCAAGTGTGAAAAACAAAACGCTGAAATGCTGTGGGGCTCAATGTTGTAGATCATCCCTGGGGATCAGGAGATGTGTACAGGATTTTCTAACCCACTGTGCATACAATGCTGCCGTCATTTGAATGCTGATTTACCTGCAGCTGTTTTTTTTACATGAACCCCATTACATGTCTAACATTTTTGAGCTTGATGACCCAAGTGTTGATCCATCATGGCTCTAGGTCCCCTGGTCTTTCATTATAAGTATTTGAAAATTTCAGGACTCCATTAAAATAGAATTCCAGTGAAATTTAAAAATCTCTCACTTTTTTAGGTCACTTTCTTAAAGGTACAGTAAAGGGAAATATACTTTACCTGCATTCTTATGCTCTGCTTCTTTAAAAAACAAAACAGTTGCTGGCTCAGATTTTGTTCTCAGTTGAATAGATGCTTATAAGGATCTCGGCAACGAAAGGGCAAAGGCAGAACTGCATGCAGGGGGCACGTAGGGGACAAGGGTTGGCAATATGAATATGCAGATCTCGATCTTCAGCACAGTGGTAAGTATCCTTTACTTCACTACATCTCTCCATGGACTTGTCCATTATCAACCAGTCTGCAGTGTACTAACCCCAAGGGAATGCAGATCTTGGTGAAATGTGTAGGCTGGTGCGTCCTGGACCCCGTCTGTGTGTAACCAGGACGCTATCCATGCTAAACAGCGTGGGTGGAGGAATCAAGCAGGGCTGAATGAGAAATAACAGAGTCATATTTTATCTACGGAGGGTCATTGAAGGTGCCTAGAGCAGATTGTGATTTATTTTTTTGACCCACACTAACAAGCCCAGGGGTTCCTGTATTGTTCTCTTCGCCCGCGCTGCTCTCCTCCTGTAGGTGTCATCCCATACCACCAAGATTCCCCTCTGATGTCATCAGGTAGCCAGCTGTCTCTTCCTGGTTCCCGCAGCCGGTCCCTTAATGACGCAGCGCCTGATGTATTATATAGAGACCACCACAATTTTTGCTCACTGGCTTTCTGATTGTAATTCTGATTTACAGGCCAGCAACCAAAAAAAAAAAAAAGGGCCATGGCTTCCTAATATTAAAGGAAACCTATACAGAGATAAATATGGAGGCTGCCATTAATGACATCCTTTCAAAATGCTGCTGACCTGGCCGAATCTGGCTTTTTTGAGTCATTGACCTGGAATCAGTATGCACCCAGTAAAGTCAAACTCTTCTTGGAGTCTCTGGGCTGCGTACTTGTTCAGGTCAGTGACTGAAACGGGGATCGGGGAATCTTCCCTGCTGGCTATTTGTCTTCTTATCAGCATAAGAATGAAGCAATACCTGGCATTAGCAAGGTAGTCTACATTGTATTTTCAGTACAGGTTTCCTTTAAGTAAAGAACAATACCAAAACAAGTACAACAAAAACTAGCAAATCCCCAGAGGGTGTTCAGTAGTCCATTCATCTCTATTCATACGGCACCCGTTATAAGTAGCTTTAAATGGTGCTCAGTCATGGTTAGGATGCAACAGTGTTATGTTTACTGAATTGATCACGGTGAATTGGTGGGGGTTATGTAAAGGGGTCTTTTATAGAAGACATTTGCCTTTTAGGTCTCGTTCACACCTAGGCGTATTGCATATGCGCGAACGTCGCACGTTTTTTTACCGCGATTTGCGGTAAAAAAGTTGCGCATTTCTGAAGGCTACTTGGCTGTATCCCAATGGAAACGCACAACAAAACGGCCCAAAGTAGTACCTGTACCTTTTCAGGAGTGGGCCGTTTTGTAGCGCGTTAGGGACGGGAGGAAATACGCCAAGGTGGGAACGAGACCATTGAATACAATGGGATTTATATTTTTGAGCGTTTTGTAGCGCGTTCGTAGAACACGCTACAAAACGTTCAGGTGTGAACGAGGGCTAAAGCACATTTGAACTTTACGTTTAATCCGCAAAATACATTACAGGGAGATCAGAACAAAAGGTATGCAAAGCCAGACAGTTGATTTTCTTAAGAAAACAGCCGAAGCCTGAGTAGAAAAGACTGTCCCCTGTCAGAGTTGTGCAGAGAAGATCCTTTGCTCTCTGTGTGGCAGTAGAAATCTCTCTGCAGAGATCCAACATGCCCTCTGCATAGTCCGACATATATCTCTGCAATCCGGCATTGGGGAGTGTCTGATCTCTGCAGAACAGAACGAATGGTCACCAGCACTCCAAAGTATTCTTTAATGCAAAATCTTTTTATTAGCTATAGCAGGTCATATCGCCATGCGTAGCAACGTTTCAGAATCTGTCCGGTCCCTTCATCAGGCAAACGGAGTGATAGTCTATCACTGCCTGATAAAGGGACCGAACAGGTTCCGAAACTTCGCTACGCATGGCGATATGACCTGCTATATCTAATAAAAGATTTTGCATTGAAGAATACTTGGAGTGCTGGTCACCATTCGTTCTGTTCTACAGAGATCCGACACACCCCCTGCTGAGTCAGAACTAGAGCTCTCCAATGAGATTGCCGGATTGCAGAGATATATGTCGGACTATGCAGAGGGCATGTTGGTTCTCTGCTTGGAGTGTTGGTGACCGACCATTCTGTTCTTTGAGAACTTGGCGGTGCTATCCGTGGCCACTTCCCCAATAAATGCTGTTTCTAGGTCAGGAGTGTGGTTGGACTCCCTGTTGGACTGGATCTCTGCAGAGACACTACTGCTTTCTCAGAGCTCTCTAACAAATCAACTAAATCTCTGCACACATTTTGTTATCTGATTTTAAATGTCGGGTTGTAGAGAAAGGAAACTCCGTGCCATTTCTTACTAGCAAAAATTCCTACTTCTCTGTTGGAGGCCATTCACCAGTTTTGTCTCGTTAGGAAACCAAAAAAAAAATGTGCGCGCTGAAGTTTTGGCAGATATGAATGTAAAGAAACCTGACTGTGGGGAAAGTAAACTTGGCTGATAGTTTTTCCCAAATTCATCGCAGGGAATGAGAAAATCACCTCGTACTACCTCAGAACATTTTCAGACAACAGGCAAAAAAAAATCAGCAAATGCCGACGCTACCCCCAGTTTACTTCAGCTTGAGTGTTCTTTTTTTCTCCTGATTCCTTGCAGGTAGATAGAGTAGGTCTCTCTGTACGTCCTCTGGGCTGGGACGTCATCCTCTTACAAACCACTCTGTGACCTCCCGCCCTCGGGAAAACAACTTGTCTCTGTATTTAAAGTGTGTGTAAACCCTAACAATGATCCTGCCAGAAATCCAGTGAGCATTTCACTTCCTGTTCCTGTCTGTGCTACACTAAAATCTCAAGCAGTATTATCAGCCCTGTCCAGTTCTCTGGTTAGGGAGACTAGGAGGGGTGGAGGTGTTCTGTAGTCTAAATCATAAGCAGAAGGCCTAGTGTGACAACACTGCTCCTTCGTAAATACAGCACAGTGAGTGAGCGTTGTCCCCCAGGACAGGAAGTGGGTCACTGGCTGGATCATCAGGTGAAAATACAAGTAGAAAAAAGCCTGAAAAAAGAAAATAAATGCGGCTACTAATGACTGCTAAGCTGCAATATATTACATTTTTGTTCTCCGTTGTAGTATTATAAATTTAGATAAAGTTCTCTGTTGCAATGTCAGATGAGCAGGGTAGGAATTTTTGGGTTCCCTGTTGTGCACAGGTATGGGAGTTTCATGAGTTCTGGCAAAATGGGTTACCAGTGAATGTGGCAGCCTGCTAAAACAGAATTGAGAGCCACAATGTATGCCACCCGGGTCCCTTTAAGGGACACACCTTTGCTGAGTGAAATACAGATGCTGCAATCGTGACCTCTCCTAATACTACTAGTTGATTTGCTGTCGTGCCAGTTGTATCATTTTAGTACTTTGAGTCACTAAACCAAAATAAGTATGCAAATCGGGAGTTCATACTTTACTTTGACTTTACTGTCAACATGCTTCTTCCTGGACAGTGTCTAAAGCTCTGATGCCAAGGAAAGCAGGGCACTCATATTTAGGAGGAGGTTCACAATTGCACCCTGCTATTTTCACAGCAGATGTTTCCCCAGTCATCTTCCAGGACAGCCCATCGAGATATAGGCTCCGCCTGCCTGCAACAGGAAACACATCAACCACATTTAAATAAATGGACCCCTCCTTCCATCCCAATTCATTTTTTTTTGTGTTTTCTCCAGCTACACAGGTTCACATCGTAATGTTTGTTTTCAGGGTTCGTTTTTCTATTTGCCTCAGGGCAGAGCCTAACCCTGATATGCGTTGGGACCTACTCCAGGATTTCCTGCTGCAGCGCATACAGGGATCCCTTGTCGGATCCCCACCCGAGACTAGGCCTAGGTTCCCCTCCGTCATTCAGGGAGGGCAACCATCCTCCTGTACGTGAGTGGCTCCAGATGGAGACCCCCCCCGGTGTGCAGTAGTGGCAAGGGTGTTACCCTGGGCGGTGTACGGCACCCCCTCTTGGTTGCATGGAGGGGGTAGGCTCTGGAGTGGGTGCAGTGAAGACACTTACCAGTTGAAGCAGTGGTCACTGTTCCTTGGGCCATGGTTCCGTCCGGTGACGTCCGAAACGTGGGGACACCACATACTTGCTGGTGGCAGCTCCCATATTTTTGTCATGGCAGACGTTTTGTGAACTATTGAATAGTGTTTAGTTCCTTCATTTAAAGTGGAACTGAGTGAAGGATGTGCAGGGGAAGCACTTGCAATATGGTGCAAATCTTTGTCTTCTTGCTGCTTGCACGGCCGTAGGGCAGCCAGTGATGATGACACCACACTCCACTTGTTAGTGTCTGAGTGATGCCAAGAATGGGCGCTGTGCATGTTCAGGGGGCAGCGTTGGGGGCTGGGGGGAGTAGTTTTATATTAGTCTCCTAGGTCCTCTATTTGTTACCCTTCTTATGTTCCTCAGGATATTATTTGCTCATTCATTTCCTTTCATTCTCTACAGAAATTGTTTTGGATGAGAGAACGAAAAGGGAACTTTTTACAGACACCTTCTGTAGAGTGTGTGGAGCAGTCCTACAGTTTGAATCCCACAGAAATGCACATTATGAGGTATGTTACTAGCTATTGAAGCTTAATAAAATAATTTCTTAGTTAACCGTCGGATCTTTTTAGCCGACTGCAATGGGAAATAATTTGGCTCACACTCATTCATAATTAATCACAAATATAAGATATTCCATGTCAGTGACGAGCTACCTGCCCTTCTACTGGCAGGTGCCTGGCACTAGTGATGGGCTCGGGCTTGTTCGCAGCTCTACGTGCCGAGCCCGCCAGGAAGCTGGCAGCGCCAATCACAGGCACTGAGACATTTTCCCGGTCCGCAGCTGTAGAGATCGGGAAATGTCTCAGTGCCTGTGATTGGCGCTGTCAGCTTCCTGGCG